TGTTCCAGACTTTAGTGCTAAATATTCATAACAGCCATGGAGCTTTCATTTGATGTGTTATTACCCATTATACTTCTGCCACCTTCAATTCCTCAAAATTACGGGCAATAGAGACCAACAAAGATGTTAATTTTAAAATCTTCAGCCATTTGTTCAGTTTATAAAGTAAAATTATATTCATTATAAAATGGCGGCTACAATAATTTCTAAGTAGCGTAGTGAAGTGATATTTTAAAAAGAAAAAGATGGGACTCAGTAAAGGTTAGATTACTCGGTTAATTTGACACCTTTACAATAAATTCATTTAGGTAAGGCTAAATATTTGTTTTAGGTATGGTATTTATTTTAGAATGTTTTTAAATTTTTGACAGAGCCCTTTAAATCTGTAGATTTCAAGGAAACTGAGAAAATTTTCAAACAAAATGGTCACTGACAGTCTTTCTCTCTATGCCTCTCTCCCATTTTTAATAAGCAAATTATTTCAAGATCATGCAATCATTAATTGCAGAATTCTTGATCAGCTAGTAGTCCAGTGAATCTCCATGGTTGACAATGCAGTCTTTTGGAAATAAGCCAGTTTTAGGAATGTTTTGAATTATTTAATAACTTTCCAAATAAACTGGAATCAGTTATATAAATTGTCTATATCATGCAAGATTTTTTGACACCTCAGTTGCCTCAATATTATTTAACATTTATTTCAGAAGAGAAGCACCATTTAAAGAGAAAGCAAAAAAGAAATAGAAAGTAGAGGGGATTATGATTTGAGATTATAACAAATTGAGATTATTAAAAAAAGAATTAACATTATTTAATATCGTGGTTCACGAACAATTCCTGTGAATTGTATTCTCTTTGATGAGCTTTTTAATAGTATTTCATTAGATTTTATATATAAAATACTTTAATTTTAAAATAATAAATTTAATTATATAAAAATTAAGATTTTAGAAATTACATGGAGGTCTCATCTTTAAATTCCAAAAGCTTAAGAAATTAATTGCTTGATCACTTACTTAAAAAAAGAGTCTGTAAATATTTCCACTAGTGGAAAAATTACATTTTTCTGACTAAGTTTATTTTCATAACTAGTGCTACAACTCTCTTTTAAATACGTTTTGTGTATATCTTGTTTATTTAATTAGGCCAAATGACTTGCTGGATCAATGGAATACCTTTTTAAAGTCTCTACTAATACATTCTCAGAGCAATGCATTAGAGAGACTGATATATTCACACTAACACTCTTTATTTCAGTTGATAATTTTTCTTCTTTTTTTTTGAGGAAGATTAGCCCTGAGCTAATATCTGCTGCCAATCCTCCTCTTTTTGCTGAGGAAAACTGGCCCTGAGCTAACATTCATGCCCCTCTTCCTCTACTTTATATGTGGGACACCTGCCACAGCACGACTTGACAAGCGGTGTGTAGGTCCACACCCAGGATTTGAACCAGCAAACCCTGGGCCGCTGAAGCAGAACACACAAACTTAACTGCTGCACCAGTGGAGCAGCCTCTCAGTCGATAATTTTTTATCTTGTCTGTTGCTCTTCTTTATATTGGGAAAATAATAATAAAGCTTCAAATTAGTTATAATCATTCCTAATTTTGCTGTTTCAAATTTATTCCGTCAATTAAAACTTTAACAGCAAGGCCAAATTTAAATAAAGATAGTATACAGCGTTGTCTTGCCCCTAATTTGAAAGATAAAGCAGCCATTATTTTACAAATAAATTTGACATACAGATGGCAAGGTTTTTTTAATAATAAAAATTGCTGATTGCTCCTTTAAGATTCTACAAATAATATACATATATACATTTATACATGAGATGGTCTTTTTTTTAATGTATATGTCATTTTACCTAGTCTATGGTCCCTACTTATTCAACCAGACACTAATCTAGGTATATTGTAGATGTGATTAAAGTCCATAATCAGTTGACTTTAAGTAAGGGGCATTATCCTAGATAATCTTGGTTGGCCTGATTCAATTAGTTGAGGGGTTTTACTGAAGAAGGCATCTGCCTGTGCACAGCAGCCTTGGCTTCTGCCCAAGAGTCCTTGACATTCTGCACTAGGAATTTCACTCTTGCCTAGCAGGATTCACAATCACATAAATCAATCTATTACAATAAACATCTTAATGCAATCCCTACTTGTTCGAATTCTCTGACTTAACCCTGATTAATAAAAATTTTGGTACTTGAAATCGTTCTCAAGGAACAAAATGTTAAAGTTTTCTGAATTGGTTCTGGGATGGAATTGGTTCTCTTATCCGATTCGATTGAAAACACTAATGACTCTTTCTAGTGGTAAAGAGGGCACTGATAGTCCATGGCAAGATGTGACAATAGAGATATGAAAATATTGCCATTGGATATTCCTAATCAAATACTCATGGAAAGCAAGATTCTGCATGATCATGTATTTACTAGCTCAGAACATTTTATTCAAACTAAGGAGCAGAACAGGATTGCTGGTTGCTCCTAACTGTGCTGGAGAAAGTGGGTAATGAAAAATATGTGCTCAGGACTCCAAAATCCTAGCTCAAACTCTGCATTAATGGCTTAAAATCTTCTCTATTTACCCTGAAAGAAACCCTTATCTCCTGTAACTGTTGGGTCAAAATATCTGAAAACCAAACCCAAAATCTCATCCTGTGAGTGGCTGAATTACAAAAAAAATTGAATTCTCAATCCCATAGAGTATCTTCTGCTAAGGTGAAGTTATTGATTAGGAAAGAATGGGGTGCTGAAAACTGGAATAGGAAATATGGGCAGAGCCTGATGAAGCTGGGGACCTTGAACCCATCAAGTCACCGGAATCCTCTTTGCTAGTAGAAGCAGCCATTCTTCCTCTGCCTGAGTAGGTTAACCCTCTTTTGCTTGAAGAACCTATGACATCTCCTGTGGTAGCTGCCTAGCAAGCAAATGCTGATTCTTAAATCAATGCCTACCACCTCTCTTTGCTTTTAGACTCAAATCTCAGCAGGGCCCAAAGAATGAGGTACAAAGTTTGACCTACTTTGTACTACACATCCAAAGGGTACTACACATCCAAATAACTTTTTTTTAAAACAATTTATACAGAATAAAATCTGCGGAATATGTACGGGACTAAATCATAAATGTTTTGAATCATGGTGGAAAGAATATAAAATTGGCTTGGGTCAAATTTATTGATATTGGCCACTAAAGAGAGATTCTGGGTTTGATGCTTTAGCTTCAGGTGTTTGAAAGGGCAAACATGGCCCATACTAACTAAAGTTAAAATGCTAAAACCACCTTGGTATAATAGAGAGGAAGGTACCCAGAGACGAGGGATATTGTAATGTTAGAGAATACTTACCATGTAGATCCACTCAGCTTCCCCTGGACGGTCCAAAGGACACACCTTTCACCTTGACTATGAGAAATGAATCTATGAGAGAGGCCTCAGCATCCTTCAAAAGCTCTATGGTAGCTCTACTTTGTAGGCCAGAAATTAGAGTGGGAACTGCTACCATTAAACTGTGACCCAAAAATGGGAATACTGGGAGCCTGTATAGAAGTGGCCTAGTGACTACACTTAATTGCCAAAGATAAAGTGGGTATAGTTATTCTAACAGTCTACACAACCAAGGCAGTAATCAGAACACTCTGACTTGCAGAGACTTATGGTGTTGGCTAGTTTACCACAGTGTACCTAGAAAATAAACAGATGGATACTATTAAATTCTTGCTTGATCTGTGTAAGTGGAAGATTTCTAGATCTAGTAAACAGAAGTCTAACTTGAATCACCAAAAAAGACAGTCACAGCCCCTCCACCAATTCCAGGACTTGAGCAAAGTTTCAGACTCAGAATCTCACAAATGAAGGGAAGAGTTAGGGTCCCTTTGCGGAAGAGCCCTGTTACACTGACAAAAACTTGTAATGTTTATGTTTCTACCAGCCTTCCCCAGAGATACCTGGGGTCACGTATCCAGGTAACTGTGCAAAGAGAATAGGGATTACCAGATACTGCCATAGAAGGCCCACATTCGTTCTGGGACCTGTAGATCGGGAGCTATTATGGGAGGAAAGGTCAAGTGCAAGCCACTAGAATTCCCTCTGTCTAAAAATATAACATACCGAAGGCAATAACACATTTCTGGAAGGATTGCAGAGATTGGTACCACCATCAAGGACTTGAAAGACGCAGAGGTGGTGATTTCCACACACCCTGATTCAAGTCAATTATTTGGCCTATTCAGAAAACAAATGAATCTTGGAGAGTGACAGTGTATTACTGAAAACTTCATCATATGATGTCTCAAACTGCAGTTGCTGTTGCAGACGTGGTTTTATTACCTGATCCCCTAGGACCTCCTATGCAGCTACTGATTTGGCAAATGCTTTTTGCTCTAAACCTGTCATAAAGACTACCAGAGCACTTTGCTTTCAGCTGGCAAAGAAAGTGAAATATCTTCACTGTTGCCTCAGAGGTATATCAACTCTCCAGACTTACGTCATAATTCAGTCAGCAGTAACCTTGATCCCCGTTCCCTTCCACAAGATATCGCACTGGTCCATTACATGGATATTATGCTGATCAAACCTAATGATTAGGAAGTAGTAACTAGTCTAGCCACACTAATACAACATTTCTTTGTCAAAAGGTGGGAAATAAATCCCACAACAATTCAGCGGTCTTTCGCCTCAGAGAAATTTCTAGAGGTCCAGTGGTGTGAGCATGTGAAGCTCTCCCTTGCAAGGTGATGGATGAGTTGCTGTACCTGGCCCTTCGGACGGACTACAAAAAAAAAAGAGGCACAACGCCCGGCGGGGCTCTTAGAATTTTAGAGGCAATTATTACTCATTTGGGTGTGCGACTCTGGGCTATTTACTGATTGACCCAAAAAGCAGCCAATTTTGAGTGGAGCCAAGAAAAAAAGAAAGCTCTGGAACAGGCAAACATCGCCATGTTGACAGAGATTTCCTTAAATGCTTGGAGCAAAAGAATAAATAAGAAAACACATACCCTTCCTGGCTTTGCAGATTGGCCCTGTGTTGGGTTGCTCTTCTGACCCTTAGCTAGGCAGCTGGCCACTCCACGGCAGCGCTCAAGATCAGCCCAGGCGAAGAGCACTGAGGTGGGCTCAGGTCGTTTCTGAGCATGCGCCCTGCCCTGGGCATGTGCATGGCTTTTAAACTCCCGGCTACACGGTCGCCTTCTCCAGGAGATGCTGGAGCTTTTCGATGTCCTACTTCTCCTGAAGAGTGTCTTTGCTCAGCTTTTCCTCCCCGGCTTCGTCATGTTTACTGTTTGCTTCAGCTGGAATCGTTTACCCCTTGTGGCAGAGACGGTTTTTTTTTTGTCTGTCAGTGTTTTTGAGGACTGCTCTCAGCGTTGTGCCTCTTCCTTCCTGAGAGAGTTCCAATTTAGTCCTTACAAAGCGAAGTACCGTGCATCCTGTCTTCAGGCAGCCTCCAGACAGGTGAAAACAGACAACTTTTTGCGAAGAAAGACTGCTCCGCTCCCGCCAGAGCCAAGGTCCCCCACACTGGCCTGCCACTTTCAAGACTGCTGGTGAGTCAGGGAGTCGGGTGGTGCGGGACAGGGGAAAATGCTGCAGAGCTTGACCTTTTTTTTTTTTTTAGAGGGAAAGCATATCTGAATCACTTGTGGGATTTCTTTTTCTGTTGGCAGTGAGGAAGATTGGCCCTGAGCTAACTTCTGTTGCCCATTCTTCCTCTTTTTTATTTATTTTCTTATTTATTATTTAAAGATTGGCACCTGACCTAATGTCTGTTGTCAATCTTCTTCCTGTTTTTTCTTCTTCCAAAAGCCCCCTAGTACATAGTTGTATTTTCCACTTGCAGGTCCTTCTGGTTGTGCTAAGTGGGACACCGCCTCAGCATGGCTTGGTGAGAGGTGCCACGTCCCTGCTCAGGATCTGAACCGGCAAAACCCTGGGCCACCAAAGCGGAGGGCAGGAACTTAACCACTCTGCCACTGGCCCCTTCCCCCTCTTTTTTTTTTTCTCCCCAAAGCCCCAGTACCTTCTTATATATTGTAGTTGTAAGTCGTTCTAGTTCTTCTATGTGGGATGCGACCACAGCAGCCTTGTTGAGCAGTGTGTATGTCCCCAACCAGGATCCGAACTGGTTAACCCTGGGCAACCGGAGCATGTGCACTTAACCACTCAGCCACAGGCCAGCCTCTACCATTTTTAAGCTGCTTTTTCCTTGATTTAGCTTTCACTTGGTTCCTGTTAAACCTCTCACTGTTTTCCAAAGTTCCAACAAGTTGATTCAGACACTTTCTGCTCATTTATTCCATGTGTTTGTGAGAGATGGGCCCTTGAAGCTACTTTGCCTTTCTTGCTAATATCGTTCCACTTTATGCTAACTTTTGAAGTCAGGCAGTATAAGTTCTCCAATTTTTTTTTCCCCAATGTCTTTTGTTTTTCTGTGTATACGTTAGGAATTGCTTGGAACTTTTGAAAAAATCTGCTTAGACTTTGATAGTGCCTGCATTAAATCTATAGACCAGGAATCTTAATAATAATGAGCTTTTGAATACATGGATGTACTATTCTTCCTTAATTAGATCTTTTTAAATTTCCATCAGGAAAATTTTGTAGTTTTGTATGTACCTCTTTTGCACTTCTTTTGTCAAATATATTTATTAATATTTTATTCTTTTTGATGCTGTATGTATATACTTCTTTTCTTAATTTCACTTTGGATTACTTATTGGTAGTATGTGGAAATACATTTGATTTTTGTTTATTGATGTTAATGAAAATAACCCGTAACCAATCTATAAATGAAAATTTGGGAGAGTTTAGTCTGAGCTAAAATCTGAGGACCATGGCCCAGGGCCTTTCTTTGCGAAGGAAGAAAGGGCACCAAAGAAGTGAGGTGTACAGAGTGGTTATATACCCCCATACAGGATGTTTCACATATGATTGAAATGTGCCTCCCACAATAGTCACAAGATTGCCCTGTGGGCACAGCGCTTGATGGACACAGCAGGTAGTGGGTCTGCTATCTTGGTGGGCGTAGCAGGAGGCAAGTCTATTGTCTGGAGCTGGGTGGTCACAAGTGAGTGCAGCAATCAGTTCCTAGCCTAAGGAAAGATGCTTAATCCTTAAAGGAATGCCAGCTTTGGGAGGGGGAGGGAAGTTGCACCTTTATCTCAAGGGCCTTTGTTCTTGCCATAGGGTATATCTAAAGCAGATATACAATGCATGCTCAATAGCTGGCTGCAGTCAGGCCCTTTTGGAAAGACAAGGTCAGGCCAAATTAGGTTTACACAAAATGGCTTCCTCATATACTCCAATATATCCTATTACTTGCCATTTTTATTTGTCATTGATCTTTCTTCTCAGCTCATTAGTTTTCATAGATTTGTGGAATTCTTAAGATTTTTTTAATACATGTTCAGATTGCCTGTGAATAAAACAATTTTAAAACCAGATGTCTTTTTGTATCTTTCTCTTGCCTGGTTGGCTGATTCCACCGGCCAGAACCTCCTGTACCATACTGAATAGAAGTGGTGCGAGAGGACATTTTTCCTGATTCCCAATTTTAGGGAGAAAGCATTCATTCATTCATTCACCATTGCGTCTGATACTAGTTGTAGCTTTTTATAGATACGCTTTTTCAGTTGAGGAAGTTCACTTCTATTCTTAGTTTCTGGTAAAATGGCAAGTTTTTCTTAAGCCATTTCCTTATTAATACACTACAAATGACACATTTTCGTGTGTCTGATGATCATTTAAGAAACAAACAAATGCTTTTTGGTTCTATCACCAGCCAAAAATAATTAACATATTTGCATTTAGGGAATATGGATATTAATAATTTACTTATTAATCTACAAAATGTATAGCATAAGTGTCACCTTAATTGCTAAGAAATATCAGTAATTATTCCCTGATTCTAAACCTCATAATGAATTACTTGAATTATTGGATTTTATTTATTTAATGTCTGAATAATAAACGTCTACTGTGAGCATACATCTTTCACCAAGTCTCTTTTCATATCCTCTTGCATTTAGGTCCACTAAATGTTATTCTCTTTACAGATTGATATATTGATCTTGGCCTCCATAGTGTTAAATATGCAAATAAAAATCATTATAAAGAAATAAGGTGTGATGTTCAATGAGGTAACCTCTGGGAGGATAGACATTCAGTATATATCAAATGACTAGGAAGGAATACACTAAAAATTTAACAGTAGTTATATATGAAACGTTGCATTATGGTTAAGTTTTAGTATCTTTTTACATATGTATTTTCAATTTTACTGTTTAAACATTTTCATATTTTAAATAGATAAAATAAGTCATCTTTATTTGAACAGAGAACAGTAGTGCAACTTTTCCCCCAGGCTATCATCCTCCTATGAATAAGAGATGTCAGAGTTTTTACTCATTTTTTTAAAGCTGTACCTCTCCTTTTACACATCTAAATTGCTTAGGAATATCAAGTGTTAGGAGCCAATGAAAAAGCGATACATATGGAGTGTATCATAAGAGAGACATAAGGCATCATAGTGACTTCTAGGAGAATTTTTGGAGATGTGTAAAGAAGGGAAGCTTAAGAAAAGTTAAACATTTAGCTTTACCTTATTTGCCATTTGTATTGCAACATTAATGATTTCCCCATAGCTCTTGAGTATCTTTTGCTATCTAAATACACTTATATTTTCTAATGGGTTTATAAGAGACACCAAGGGAAAGTTATGTTCCATATTTGAGTTATGCTGGGCAGGGAAACAAGACATGGCAATAATGAGTAAGAGAGAGAATTTAGTAGCAATAGAACTGAAACCAGAGATAAAGCTGAAATTATAAGCCATTGGGTATTTGTCAGCATGTTGGAAAATATATTGATGTTCTACAAGACTAAGGAGGTATTTAAATTAACTGTAATTATTTTAGTGATTCTGGCAGCCATCTGGTTTAAAGTTGGTTTCCTCACATACAAGGCTGTTTGAACTCTGGTGTAAGGGTTCATACCAGCGTGCATCCCCCCATTATATTGTGCTTGTGATGTATTCCTAGTATTTTCAAAGTTTGGAATATTTTAAGTCTCTCTCTGAATTATTCACCATCTGTTTATCTCCTTTGAGTGCAAAAGTCACCATTTGCTCTCTTGTTACTCAGAAGCCAATTTGCTGGTATGATATTCCAAGGCTTACCATGCGGCTGCACTACTGCATGTTGGAGTTCAGAGAAATATGTCTCTGAAGCTCAATTGATGTATTCAATCCAATGCAGTTATTTGGAAAGTACAGAATGATCACTGTTCTGCAATGAATCTATCCCAGTTTAAAGAGATTTCATATAAATAGTAATTCCATGCAAAGAGTATAAATTTCACATAGACTAACACTAACAGATTGTAAGGATTCTAATGAAAGAGTTTCTGTGTCTTCCAGGACCTATACAAATATGCAGCTATGATAAATGAGAAGAACTGAAAAAAATATGCACACTCTTCACAAGGTAATCACCCAAGTGGAGATTATATTAAAATAGATACTTGCTCAATTTCTGAAGTAAATTCACACATTTTTACCTTAAAAATGGCAACATATGTGGAATATTGCCTAAGTATAAAATTATTGTACAGGTTTTTTCACCACAGTGAGAAGATGTTGAAGAGAGAATATTCAACTCAGTAATTCAAGTTTCAAAGATGTTACGGTAACCTGGAGATGGCACTTATCATGCATAAATTTCATATACAGTTGCATGAAACTTTCTTATTCTGGGCATCAACTCAAATTCTGAGAACTTATAATTTACTTTCTATTGAAACAAGCACCTCCGTAATAACATATGATATGGCAATATTATCTGAGTAACATTTGTATGTGAGATATCAACATGGCTAAAAATATATTAAAAGGAAACTGAACTTCTTTCCCTTAAAAGGCATAGAAAAAACTATGCTCTTTCAACAGTTTGTCTACTCTTTCTCAAAACTTCCACAAAATAATGCAAAAGTCACCTTGCAAAGAGAAGCAAAGTGCTGTTTTCAGTATCAGTCAGAGAGATGAAGTAACTGAACGTTAAATTCTGCTGCTAGGATTCTTCTCTAAGTTGAACAGTTAACCAAATTATGATTTGCTAAAAAGGATAGCTGTGATTGTTATCTATATGAGCCATATTGCCCCATTTACACAATGTTAAAATTTTAGTAGTATACAGCACATATTCAGTGTCTAATTTGTGTAACTGTCAGCATGAGGGGCCAGGATCTGAGAGTGTACATATTAAGATGTTGCTAATTCTGGGACAGTAAATCCTCCAGAAATATCAGCTCTATTGTTTATATCATTTGTGATATTGAGTGCTCTTGCCTGTTTTCCAGCTTTTTGGGTTTCATCTTTTCAAGGCAAAGTTATGATGTCATTCATTCAGCCCACACTCCTCCCCTAGAACAGGAATAGAATGTATTACAAATCCTGTTATAAACTCCAGTGTTGTCACAGATTTCTAAATGGCAGTTAAATGTTTTTATT